TCTCAGGCGTAGATTTCGAAAATTCACTGTACGCTTTCGGCCAATGGGAAAAGAGATAGTGAGTTCAATGCATAACTAATACATGAAGTTTCCAGGGAAACCAAACCTCACGGGCTTCTTAGCAAAAAGAGCCAAATTGTTTAGAATTGCGCGCGATGTGGTCAAAGCCTGTTGGTTTCCACACAGGATCTAGAGGAGCTCTACTCAAGCGTAGAACACACATCTCACCTTCGTAATTCCAAAATGTCTTAACTTGTACGATAAAGTCGTTCTCAGCTCCTAGTCCCAGATCTTCCCATATCCCTAGATCTTGCCTCATCCGGTCGCCAGACTCTTCTGCACGGCTTTCGCTTTGTTAAATTATATATACCGCCCACGAAGGTACTGACTGTGGTTTCGAAAAATTTGAAGTATTCCCAGTCGCTTCATGTTAGAGCCCACCGCTATAATCTCCGGCCTGATGGGACACTGGCTMGTTTGCAGACTTACTTTTTTACCTCTTTGTTAGTTACTTTAGAACCTGATTCCAGCTTGCATGGAAATCTTTGCTGGTCCACTTAATTTTCTCCGCTTGTCCGGTGCTACTTTGTGAGACCAGAAATAGGTCATTTTCGATATATTAAAAATGGTCTATTGGCGGGCCCCATTTTGCTTTTTACTTTCTGTTAATAATAACTGGCTTTATTATAAATATCAAACACTCGATTAAACCCCGGGATAAAACACTAAGCCAGAGCTGTTTATTTAACCGTTAAACTTTGAATAACGAATATTGAAATCTGAACGCATTATGCAAACAATCTCACCGCAAGATATTTTCCACATGACTTGCCTAGATAGGGAATTTGAATTTGAAATGACTGTTAAACTGCTTAAATAGAATGTTACACTGCTCTGAGGTTAAACTGGATCACTTCCCTTGGTCTTGGCTGAATTGAGAATTTAAAAGCAGTGCCATCAAACACACACAAAAAAACTTGATCTAAATTGTTCCAGTATAAAGTTATATTACTTGCGTTCTAATTCGCTTCGCTCAAACGAACGTAAATCATTTTACCCTTAAATTCCCGTAATACAAACAAATC